CTGTACCAGGTTCACAGCATTTATATTACAGATATTAACTTATTATTTTTATGGGATTCCCGACTGTGAGAACAAGTAGGTCACTGAATCTTGTACCTGCTCATAGGACTCATTTCCTCCTGTTAGGTTGCCATGTCTAACTTTGATATGATAGTTTTTGCTTCATTTTATTATATTTTGATATGTTTGATTGTTATCTCTTAGAGGCCTGTTCTTTTCTAATGGATGGAAGAAGGAGTAACTGGGAGAAGTAGAGGCAGGGAAACTATAAACAGGATAAAGTGTATGAGAAAAGAATACTTTTAATGAAAGGAAAAATGGGAGAAATAGAAAAGTATTTGGAGACAGTTTTCTTAGTTTCCAGTAAAAGGTGTTTAAGGAGTTTTAAAACAGCCCTCTGAATCTAAAACCTAGTGCAAACCATGGCTTTCTCTTTGAGGACTCCTCAATGTATTTTCTCTGAAAGTTACAAAGGCAGTTCTGACAAGAAATTATTCCTATGCCTTATGGAAGAGAATGGACTGAAATGACCCAGTGTACAAGAACATTTTTTCTTTGTGTTTCAGATGTTTACTCTCCCTAGAAACCTAATTAAATAGTCTTCTTTGAGAAACCACATTGAAGACCTGAGTTTCTACAACACATCCAAAATTTCTGATGGGCAGTCCCTTTTATGGTGCCAATTAACTGAGCACTTATCCAGAAGACCTGAGGATTCTCCTCTTCACAGACTTCATCCAGTGTCAACTCACCCCACATGGTTCTCACTGCAATAGGGAACTTCTTCAGTTATGCCTGTCAAAAGTCTTTAGAGTCTGTTTCTGATATCTTTTTCTATGGTATAAGACCTTGCCACATTATAGCTCTCTCAAAGAACTGCTGCATAGCTTTGTTGCTCCAATGCTTTATGGCCCAAGGTCAAGGGTCAAACCAACAGACAGAGGATTCCATGGCAGTTTGTTGCTCTGACAACAGTCTGCCCTTTATGTATAAATGGTAAAAACAGGAAGTTGTTTTTTCTGCTCTCCAGGTTACTTCAGCTTCTGCCTCTACCAATATCTCTGGCAACACCTCTGCAGTCAGTAAACATTCAGACTCCATCCTTCATCTTCTAACTCATCAAAGAAAAGACATGTGAAACATTGGTGGTAGTCTCGGGTAGAAATTTTTATCCACAATGATCCATCTCCAAGACAAAAGTATCCAGAATGCCAACATAGTCTTCTCCTGTGGGGCCATACTCATGTTGGTAACGGGCATCGTCATGGAAAACTGGGTGGAATTAATTCCCAAACTGAGAAAGGAAAAGACTACCCACAGTCCATGGCTGGGTTGCTGTCCTGCTTATTGGCCCGAAGGTCAGAACTGTACTATGAAAATTGGTGGGTGGAGAGGAAATTCCCATGGTTCCTTGACTTTCATCATCTACTCAACTTACTCCTTATTCCTGGAAGCAACTTTCTCAGGCAACAATAAGCCCTTCGCATATACAACATAATGAAAGAAAACTCTAAAATTTCACCATTTAGATTTTGAGAGAAAATTTTAGGATCTCACTGTCTTTTGATAAGCCTGGACTTTTGATAAGCCTGGGAAGTATCAGGAAGGTAATCAGTACAACTAGACATGAGGGGTATGACAAAAAATGGTTGACCAAAAGGCAAATGGATTTCAGCATCCCTAGGAGAGGATGGGTGGAGTAAGGTACTTAAAAACCTATGAGTTATATATAT